ATTGATGATGTTACCTAGTCTGGCAATGAAACGTCTGCAAGGAAACCACCAAGGATCCCACAGTCATCGTCCTCCTCCTCCTCCTCCTCCTCCTCCTCCTCCTCCTCCTCCTCCTCCAACCCCATTCCTTTCTGGAACTGATGATGTTCCCTACTTGGGTCATGAAACGTCTGCAAGGAAACCACCCAGCTCAGAGAGCTCCAAGGACCCCACAGTTCAACCCTGGGCTACAAATATTCTCTGTTAATTCTAGAATAATCTAGTGAACTGACTTTGCTTTGAAATCCAGGTAAGCTGGCCTTTTTCCTTTCTTAATTGTTGCATTTCCTACCCTGCATCTTTTCTCCTGCTGTGTTCCTCCGAAGTACAAATTTAAAAAAAAACACATGGCAAAAAACCCATAAACCAACAGAATCAATCAATCCATCAATGTGGACACTCTTCAGCCACAAAAATTCGGCCTAGCCAAGCTGCGTGTCCAATGAGCAAACGAGTTCAAGCTACATTTTCTCCCTGGTTTTGAAGCAAACATGGGTAAGATGCCTTCAAGGGCTGAAGGATGGCTTCCCTACCTTTTTTTTTTTAATTCCCAATTTTTATCTGGATGGAAAACAGGAAAACTCCTGGTGTTTTTCCCCCACTATCACAGGATGTGTGCTGTGTTTATAGGTGCTTGTGTGGCTCCCCAGAATTTGAGTCCCGTGCCCTGGATTCCGGATCTAAGGTCATTTGTTTCCTTATGCAGATCAGGGCTTTCTCTGGGGGCCCTCCAGGCAAAGGAATCTCCATATTCCCCCATTCTTTATCTGAGAAGCTGCAATCACCATAAAGGGGCAGTTTCCTTTCTGTTTTAGGTCTTCCTTGGACTGAAATTTATATAAAACAATTGTTTAAGGAACTGGGGGCTTCCTCAATCCCAAGTCTTCTGCTACATGCTAAACCTGGAAGCCACTGGAGAAGGAAAGCTGATAAATTCAAACCAATCAACCAACTAAATAAAAATGAGCTCTGATGAACCTCAGCCATTAATAGCTCTTCTTTTTGAGGGACATGGAGGCTCTTGAGTCCAGTGCCTTTCATGTGGGCTGTTTATAAAGAATAGAATAGAATAACAGAGTTGGACGGGACCTTGTAGGTCATCTAGTCCAACCCCCCCCCATCCAAGCAAGAGTCCCTACACCATTTCTGACAGATG